AGGGAGCCGCTTGGTGGGCGCTGCCCCTGAGGGGACGGGGTGGTGCTGCCCCCCATAACGTGTGGAGCCCGAGCCAAGCTTTCCCCCCCCCTCCACCTTCTTCCACAGCTCTACCAGGATGGGGACGAGATGCCTGCTCTCACCGCTGCTGTGCCTCTCCCTTGTGCTGCTGGGGCCTGGCGGTGAGTGTTTGCCCTGGGCAGGGGCCGGCTCCAGGCTAGTAAGAGGTGGAAGAGCCGTGCTCTGCTGGGGAAGGTCCCTCCAGGCACCTCTCTGGGGAGAGAGCTGCTCCCGGCGTCCCCTCGGCTCTTCCTTCGCGCCTGTGCTTGGGCTTCGTGCTCTCCCACATGGACAGCGCTGTGTTGAGGCGCTGGTGGGATACGTGGTGCGCTAAGGGAGTGTATGAATTCGCTTCCGCAGATGCGAGTTAAATGCTGTGCAGTCAGCGATGAACCGGGGAGCTCTCCTTATATGCTCCTAAATAACTTCTCCTATATTTCTCCTAAATAACTTCTTAAGAACACTGTGTTATAAGGCAACAAGAAAGATGCTCATCGCTGCTTCTGATGCACATAATGTCTACACAACTTCCTGCAATAGTGGCTCTTGCACTTTGTTCTTATCTAGACAAGCTTTCTCAATTTTTTCTAAATATGTCAGCTTTCAGAAGATACAAGGAGGTGCTCCAACTGTTGCATGAGGCTCCTGATGCACCAGAGGGACTCACCCTTGCTCCTACCTGAGGCTAACGGCTAGGGTCTGCCACTTCACTGTACCCAGCCCATGTATCTTTCTAGACCATGATTTCAGTTCTAACTGTCTTGAACTTCATAGTTCACTTTCAGTTAGAAAAAAAGTATCCAGGACAATCCATTTATTGCTCTTCATATATCTGATTTTATTTTTGTATAGCTCTTTATTCTTCTTCCTGTCACTTATGTCCTTTAAACTTACAAACCCAAAATTGCTGACACATGATTATTCATGGCTTTCATATCAGTTGTATTGGCACTTATAATCTGGCCCTCCCTCTCAAAATATGATGTGGTACAACATAGCTGGGTTGTTGCAATGTGTACCCCTTAATAGCAACACTGCAGAGCTATTTAGCAAGGTGCTTGAGAGTCCTGAAGCATTAGGAAAACAAATGCATGGTCTCTTGGACATATGATATCTGGTTTGAATCTGTGGCTCAAGCAATGGTTTTAAATGGAAATTTGAGCATTATGACTCCCAAATTACTAGGATCACAGCAAGAAACAATTAGCATGAGTTTAAAATATCATATAACTTCTACTGGCATGAACTTCTGTTGCACTTCAAATATTTAAGTTGCTTCCTTATCACTTGTTCAAGTGACAGTTATTTAGTTCCTCTTTTTAAAGTTGTTTAGTGTGCCTTGAAATAAGCTGTAGTCCCTTTGTTTGTTGTATGTGTACTATTTTTATTAGACTGACAGCGCAGACAGCATTTGACAAAAATCTTCCAATCACAAAAGAAAACAGCTAGCTTTTCAGAAGTAGTGTCTGTCGTTCATAGTAATTGATTGGGGGGGGGCGTTGTTTTGTTTTCGCCAGATGGAGCCGTTAATATATTGTCTGCCCCTGAAGTGGTTTCATTAGAAAATGGAAGTTCAACAAACATCACTATATCTCTGAGGTAAAATCATGATTCCAACTTTCTCTTTGGAACAGGGAGGAGCTGGAGGGTAGGAGCACAGAGTGAATCTCACTTGTGTGCGACTGGCCACTTCTAGAGTACTACATCACTTTAAAACCAGTTTGGACTGAAGTGGTGCAGAAGCCTCACACATAGTCTTGTGTGGAGTAGGCCTCCAACAACATCCCATGCCATTTATACGGAAGGTCTAGCAGGGAAAGATATTCTGTACTATCTATCCTGTATTAGCTTATTTAACTGTCTACTGTAAGTGAACTGAAGTTTCCTCCACCTCCAAAAAGCAAAGCTTAAGAAAAACTTGCATTTCCTAGAAGGCTCACTAGAGACTTTACCGAGCGAACAAAACTCACTGTTTCTAGCAAAGAAATGTAGCTCTGCTGGGGCTGATGCACCTTAGTCTCATTGTTTAATGTAGCGCATTGTTTGTTTACGTTCTTGCTTTGTCAGCCTTCTTCCAGGAAAGGAGTGCTAAATCTTCAACAACTTTGAGATCCCAAAGGAGTGTGGAGCGGGGAGAAGGGAACAGTCGGATGACCATGTAGTAACTGGTTAGGAAGGAAAATGGCTAAACATTGCTGCAACAGTCTAGAACTCTTTATCTTTCAAAGAAAGATACGGTACTGTAATTTAGTTAGTGAACAAGTACAGGCCCTTGAATCTTATGATACGCTAATGTATGTACAGCAGTACAATTAAATCTTCTGGACAAGGGCTCAGTGAGGTTCTAGGGAGAAAGTTGTGCAGGTCTCTATTTCAGTCAATTTATTCTTAGCTCGTAGCACTTCCATCATGTCTGCCTTTTTTCTCCCCCACCCCTAAATCCTGTCATGGTGTTTATTAATCCCTTGCTGGTATGGCTTTGCTCTGCCACTTGTACGGCAGAGGGAAATAACATGAAGAGAAGAGGGAGGTAAAATGTGGCCTTGTAACTGTCTAGTGCCCACCACTAGTTCTGACTAAGTTTTCAGAAAAAGGAACAGTACACTGCTAAAATATCTTGGCATTGGTGTTCCTTTGAGTACTAGGCAAGTACTGTTGTGATGGACTGTCCATTAAGTTTGCCAAAGCTGTGAGGAGTTGACAGATGTTTTCCAGTAGGCCTGAAGGAAAGTCTTGGAATTCAGGCACGAGTCTAACTTGGCTTTTCTGTCTTTGCAGGGCTCCATTAAATGAGACACTGTTGATAACTCTTAATATTACATACTCATCGAAGCACAGAACCATTGTTGAACTACCTAACGAAGTAAGTCGCATAACAGACTTCTGAACTTAACGCAAAAGCCTGCTGTCTGTATAATGCAATTCTCCTCTTTCTTTCCTCTGGTTTGCCTTACAGATACAATTGCCTGCAGGTCTCACTAAGGTAGACTTCCAAGTAAAAGCAGATGATGTTGGACAAGTTACAGTGCATCTTCATACCAGTAATTCCAACTTAACTGGGTGAGAAACTGGTTTTTAGTTCTACTTAGTATCTTACTGCTCCCTACACTTAAGGTGATTATTCCCTCTTCATAGTCAAACAGTTAATGACACGTGGGTGGTATATAGTCAAGAAGGTGTCGTGACCCTCCAGCAGTCCTCAAGGTATTCAGAAAAATACAACATATGGAAGCAGAGAGGTAGCCTACGTATCTTGATTTCGTTACCAGATGACTGTGAGTTCTCATGGCTCCTTAGTCTAGTTTAATAACCCTTCCTGAGTCTCAAAACTACGTTAGCTTTCCCGATCCATGAAGCATTTGCCTGTAAAAGTCCAGTTGGATACTGCTGTTACTGTGTAGAACTTGCTGTGGGGTGGTAGCCTGATTTTAGGTTAGAGGGGCCTCCATTCATGGAGGCTGCTGTCCTCTGTAATAGGAAAACAGCCTAGCAACATGGAGAAAACTGGATTGTATTTGCCTATTGCCCAGATGGCACTGCACAACACCATACTCCTGTCTTACTTCCTCATTTCACTTCTGCTTTTAAAACTTGAAAAAAATGCAGAGGTAACCACATTCATGAAATGTGTAACAGGACAGGCGTGATCGTGAGGCTTTGCTGGCAGAGCATGAAAAGTGAAACTCCGCTGTTGCGTAACAGACCTCATGCTAAGGGAGTGGAAACGATAGGCAAAAGATGACCTTTTGGAAGATTTGTGTGACAACAGAATGGAAAGGAAAGAAGAAGAAAAGGGTGAAGATTGGGGCTAGGAGTGGTAGAAGTCTTAAACATAACAAGGACACTAAAGGAAAGGGGAAAAACTCAATTGAAACCAACTTGGGATCTTTACTGTTTTGTCTCAAACTCCTGTACTCTGTTTTCTTTTTAAGTAGAGCAAGTGAAAATATCCTGAAAAAGTGTGAACAAACTGACTAACTCTGTATGCATTAACCTCCAGACCTAGGATTCAGTTCCAGGTGATTCACAGCATCATAGTGAAATATGCTGATGAGGTGATTGGCTGGATCTATTTCCTTGCCTGGTCTATCTCCTTCTATCCTCAACTCTTTGAGAACTGGCGACGGAAAAGGTAAAGAGACTTAAGATGCGTTTGCAAGTTACTCGAGCACTTCCAAAAGTCGTGTTCTTGGTTTCAGTAACGTCCTTCTTGGCTCTTGTGAGTAATGCGTAGAAAGACTGAAGAACAAAACATGGCAAAGACGGAGCCCAAATAAATGCAGCCTCCGGGAGCTTTCATGCAGGCAGGTCATAAGAAACTAAGTGCCTCCTACAGAGGCACTCCTAATCTTAAGATTTGGCATCCAATAGTAATCTGTGATAGAGGAGACTTCCCTGTTCCCTTTGGTGCCATGCATTACATCATCTGACCTAGCCACTTGTGATGCCCACTTCCAAAGATTACTTATGTTGTCAGCTACTTAACACACAGCTCCTTGTAGTGTTATCATTAGACCAGCTCCCTCTAAACTGAGGGACTATCATAAATAGTTTTCATAGATGTTCTTCTTTCTAAAGTGTTCATTTTGGCAAAGATGCACTACTCCTTCCACAGATTTAGGTTGGAGTGGTTTTATCCGATTAGCTAAGCTCCTGCAGGGGTGAAGTTAAATAACAGGGATGCAAACTTAGTAGTACAAATTGTTTTGAGTACCAGTGCATGGCATATATTTCACCTTGCTGCCTAATAAACTCAGCATCACATTGCAACAATGCCTATAGCTTTGGCTTACGTGAAGAATTGCCTCTATATCGGCACATCTTAATGACAAGTCCTCCCTGGAACTGGCTATAATGCTCTGATGCGTATTTTTCATAATTTTTTCCCCTCTCTTTCTAGTGTTGTCGGATTAAGCTTTGACTTTATTGCATTAAACCTTACTGGCTTCATAGCATACAGCGTGTTCAATGTTGGACTCTTCTGGATTCCCTTAATTAAAGTAAATATGAATCTCTTTAGTATTTGTGGGGGAGGGAGGTTATGTACAAAGGAAGCTATTGTATTTGACTGGTTTTGGCTCCTCTTACATTTAGGAGGAATTCTTACTCCGTTATCCCAATGGAGTAAATCCTGTGGCTATCAACGATGTTTTCTTCAGTCTCCATGCAGTAGCTCTAACTTTCCTCATCATAATTCAGTGCTGCATTTATGAGGTAGGTCTCTATGCTGGACTGACCTGTCAGCTCTGGAAGAGCGCCCTCTGTCGGACACCTCACAACTCCTCCTCGTACTCAGGTCCACCCCTTCTGTACTCCAGAGTCATCTTTGTTGTCCTTTCCTCAGGCGCTCTAGAAATAAGACTTCACAGTCCAGCTGCCTTACCTTTTCTGAGCTAGTGGTCACTCCAGGAGGCTTAGCTATTTCGGCCTCATGGATGTTCTGAGCTTATCAGTAAACTCAAAATAGCTAAGGCAAACAGCCAGGTTCATAAAGTTCCCAAACAGATCTCTAGCCAGTGCGCAGATTACAGCTCTATGCAGTACAAATGCTGATATATGTGTTGCCATTTCTTACCATTTGGAGCATTCCTTGGGTTAGGACTGGTCCTCAGATTGCCTGCAGCTCATGAGCTTTCTTCTGCAACCCATCCCCTCCCAAAACAGCTGCAGAGACTCTTCTATAATTCCTATCCCATTCTATCATTAAAGTCAGGTGGTTATTTAGTTTCCATTGTAGAAGCCTCTGATCTGAACAGCCAATTTGCTCTAGATGGTAACTATTGCTAATGGATAACTATGTCCGTTTTGGAGTGCTTCCTTCAGTGATGCTAAACCTAAAACTGTAATGGTTCACTTGTCACCACTGTTAGGTGTGATGACCTCTTTCTAGTAATGAATCTGAAGGCAACCATGGACTCTCTTCCGTAATGGTATTAGCAGCCTCTTGCATATGCAGGAACCCTTGGTATCATCAAGGTAAACTCCAGAGATTGTTATAGCTGTGGCACTGAATAACAGGCATTATAAATCTTCAAGAATATTGCAGCAATATTGTTTCCACTTGCTCATGGACAGCAGCGTCCTAAATAAATGCTGTTGGCTGTCACTAATTGGCTCTTGCAAACCAATCAGCTCTTGGTTGCTGCAGTACTCCATTTAGTCTTAAAATTCCCTTGCGTTCTGAGTCTTAACTGGGGCAACAACAGGTTTGTTCTGTGACCTTGCATAGTGCTGGGCATACTGTATATCTTATAATGGTGTGTGGACAGGTCTAAATACATCTGCATTTCTGTTTCAGAGAGCAGGTCAGAAGGTATCCAAAGTTGTTGTTGGACTACTGGCACTTGCATGGATTTTTACATTTACAACACTGTTTCTTGCTGCAGCTGAGGAAATGACATGGCTACAATTCTTATTTTGCTTCTCTTACATTAAGTTAGCAGTCACACTGATAAAATATTTTCCACAGGTAAATCTGAACTTTTCCCTTTTTATACTATATTACTGGCACCCTAAGTGTGAAGTGCCTGTTCTTGAAAGGCTGACTAGACCAAGCCAGTGATGATGATGATTTGCTTTCTAGATCACTATGTGCTAGCTTCATATTATTTTGTTACTAGAAGAGTTCTGAAATGCTAATCTCAGGAATATTCACTATATTGGGATTGCCTAGGGCACTGGGGTCGGGGGTGGGGGGTAGACTAATGTCTAAATTGCTAAATTGAACAGAGAAGTTCCCACTGTCAACTTTCTTGCCAGGAAGGAGCAGCTGTACCTCACTTGCAGGCTGGAACAAGACTTCCACTAACTACTGTGATATCACACTAGGTGGCCAGGATTAAGGCCTCACAGGATTATTAGGTGCTGGCAGGTGCGTCTAAGTGCAAACAGGCAAGGAGATACTGACCAGCTTCTTGTTACACGCCCAGGCATACATGAACTTCCGTCGTAAGAGCACTGAGGGATGGAGTATTGGAAACGTATTACTAGACTTCACTGGTGGAAGCTTCAGCCTCCTGCAGATGTTTCTGCAGTCATACAACAATGGTAAGGCTGGAAATGAGGTGGTTGGGGGGGTGCCTTTCAAAGTGGTGGTGGTAGGGAATCCTGCTGTAATACAGACGTAACCCTGTATGTTAACTTGGGAGGAGGATGGCTCTGTGACAGTCTGCATAGCTGTTTCTACGTTAAGACTGAAGAAGTGATTGTATTTCCTGATATTAAAAAAAAATGACAGCTATTATGACAAAACTGCAAAACAGTTATTAGTTAGCAGTATAGCTAAACAGTCCAGTTAATAAACATCAACTGCTCTACTACATATATGGCATGACCGTTCAAGACAAGAGTAACTTGTTAATCTGATTAACTTGTATTAAGTCTCTAATCTTGTGTTTGATAGATCAGTGGAAGCTAATCTTTGGAGATCCAACCAAGTTTGGCCTGGGTGTCTTCTCCATCATCTTTGATGTTGTTTTTATGATCCAACACTACTGCCTCTATAGGAGATGGGGGTATGAACCTTGTGAATAACACCTTCTGCTAAGATAAAAACTTTAAATTGGACTTACCCCCATCGTGGCTAAGGGATTTCAAGATGTCTCTTAACCAGTTACCAGAACTACTGACTCTGAGCTCTGTTTACTCTGATCCTTTCTGGTACAGTGTACAAGCTCTTGCCTCACCAAATGCTGATTGCCAAATGCCTTAAAGGATACCAAGCTATCTAGCCACTTGCAGATGGAAGAGACTCTCATGCCTTTTGAAGCTGCAAATCCAGCTTGGTTTGAGCTGTTGAAGCAATATGTGACTCTTCCCTTCTTGTTATTAGTGCAAGAAAAGATCAGACCTGTGTCTTTCTGATTGTGCTTCACTTCCAAAGAGCCAGAGTTCTGGCTTCCAAAAGTCTGAGATCATGCTTAAGCAACCACTTAATGTAGTGACAAAGGAAGTAGATCCATAGATCTAACTGCTGCTGCTGCTGCTGACTCCTCAAAGACAAAGTCACAGTAGAACACTGCTCACAGTGGGTGGTAACAGCAGTAGTGGCCTATGAAAGGGATACTGGAAGAAAAAGTAAAAATACCAATGCTAGAAGCTGACCTCAAGGACAGGAAGGGTACTGAGAAGAAACACTGTGTTCCTATCTCACTGAAAGGTCTTTCAAATGTGCTAAGACAAGTACTCAGACAAATGTATCTGAATACTTCTAGTGCACTAACTTAACTTAATTTTGCTTGGTTCTACTGACATGCCTGGAGTCCTATACTGTGGATGCTAGAGAATAAAGATTGTCAAAGGGATTATTTCAAAGTGGATCATGTTAATTAACAGTCCAATGATTAAAGGTCCTAAATACATGTTTTTGTTCCTGGGCAACATGCTAAACACATGGGGGATGTTCCAGGTAAAGAACAAGACCTGGAGTTTCTTGAAGGTAAGCATTCTACCTCTTTAAAAGAACTGGAAGGGAATCTAGGCATTTGTACTTGAACAATACTTGAATGCTCAAAGGTTCTCTCTTACTAGGTATCAACCTAAAAAAAAAAACAACTCCTTCCTCCCACCTGCTAGAGTCTAGGGGAGGTTTTGCGAGATCACTAACACAATGAATACCCAACAGCAAAATCAGACCTTGCTAACCTCAGTTTCTAAGACTGCGTTTTGTTGACATAGTCCAAAATCCACTCAGGAAAAAAAGATGTCCCAGCTGGAGGCCTTCAAATATGTAAGGAGACACAGCTCATGAAATCCAGCTTTGTTTTATTGTGTGTAAAATCAAGTGACATAGCAGTACAAATAGCAGTGTATCTTTATAGTAACAAAAATAACTTCAGCTTGAAAGCCTTAAAATTTACCACTGAATTCTTAATAGTTACAAAATTCAAAAGCAGTATTGTAATAGTTCAAAAAATTTTAAAAAAAAAAAAAAAGGTAAATGGGTATCTGCTGGTGTTCACAGAACAGGCTGAGATGCATTAATCACAATATACCTACATAGCACAGCAGTAATGTACTGAATAAGTTAGTCTGCCATCTCCTCATGTTCTATTTACAACAGCTTACCTGAAGACTGCTTAAGGAAGGCGTATAGATATGTATAAATCAACTGAGGTGGATTAAGAACTCCAGTTTTCAGATAATTGTAAAGCTAGCTGGTTAACAAACCACTGAGGATGCTCGATAATTAACTTTGTTTTCCAGCAAGAATCTTAAATCGTGTAGTATGTAATTGATTTAAACAACTTATTAGAAGTTTAAATTTGGTCAAGAGGCACTTATGCAAGTTACTGGCCTATTCATCCCTTCCATCCAATAAATCAGTAATTTAAGGAAAGTCTTCCACAAGATGCAAACCAAAATCCACCCCTTCCACCTGCTGCCTGATAGAAGTGGTATAAAGAATGGGAGACTACAGATACAAGCAGCCCTTTTGGTAAGATCAGCAATAGTACTTTCTTTACCTGCTCATATTGCTCTGTTTTCCTGTCACGTAACCTTGATTCATTTGGAGTAACAAATTACTAAGGAACAAGGAGAATTAAGGCTTCATTCTGATAACGAAGCTGAACTGTAAAGTCTAAGGGCTTTTAATGCTCTTCACAAGTACCAATTTAACTCTTCTGTATTACTGTCTCTTGTCTGAAGAAGCTGCTCTGTACAGGGAATTTTTGCAGTGAACCATAACGCCCAAACCCTTCAGCATACTCTGCCTAGCTAGCACACAGTGTGAGATTAGTACAGTGCTCCTCCCCACAGCAGCGGGCAACTCTTAATTGGCATTTTTAACTGGATAGCACAGGAGGACAGGACAGCTCGCCTCTAAAAGCTTGAGCACAGCAAACCCTCTCATCTTCCTTAGCAGAAGCCACGTTTCCTTTTAAAGAGGAAGCTTCTGTGCTACAGAAGAATCTTGTCAAAGTTAAGGCTCCTCCAGTTGCTGCCTTACATAACCACTTTGTCCTGTCCTCCTGAAAACCATGACTACTCTAGGGTCTTACCATGTACCTGCAGGGAAGACTTTAGAGAAGCACTCTGCTTAGAGGACTAGAGTTTTACTACTGTCAATTACACCAGAAAAAGAAAAATAGTGTTTACCACAGGTCGGAACATGCACTCCTTCCAGACAGCCTGCTCAGGTCTAGTATTTGCTTCCTTGCTTGATATCCAGTCTATATCTCTCCCTCCCCAACCCTTCCCCAACCTCATGATTGATTAGGACATCATTGATTGTTGCACAGCCTTCTGCAGAGATTGCCTGGTCACCAGGAGCCGTACCACCTCTTCATTTCTTTTGGTCAGCCTCTTCCTGGCTTGGTCATGAGTTACCATTGTCATATCCCAGCCATTCACCTAGAAAAAGAACATAACATGCTTCAGTAGTCACAGGCAGAGCAAGTCTTGACAAAGCAGGGTAAGACTGACACATAGGGGCAAGGCCTTAGGCTGCCCCATCTCTGGTGGCTTCCCTTAGGCCATCTAAGCCTAGCAGCTCTTCTCAAAATCCAGCCAACGGAAACAAAACAAATCAGAGGCATGTGCATGGACTCACAAGAGTCCAATCACCTTTTCCACTACATAGTTCTGTAAGAGCACTTAACTGATGTGTGGCATAACCCCCACAAAATGCCCTGGAAAGTACCTAGAAGACGGTACTTCCCCCAGCATAAACTTCTCTGCAGTGCACACCTGGGTGCTGCATAGCTGGGTACTGAATTAGTACTTGTCTTATGTTGGTGTTTACCTGCATGATCTTATCTCCGATCTGAAGCCCTGCAACTTCTGCTGGGCCTCCTTCTGTCACCCTCGTTACATAAATACCCTGGAAAAAAAAATTAAGTGTTCATTTACTACATATGGAAGTACTGAATACTCAAACAGCCACTTTACTGACAATGAAAAAACACTTTGTAGTCTACTACAGGATTCTAGTTAAAAACAGGCTTGTGCGATGCTGGAAAGTAGACAAGTCGCACAAGAGCTAACTTCAACGCGAGCCTGTCTGCAGATGATTACATGTCAATGGAATAACTTGTCAGCCATGTGAGATGACAGAATACAGATGCACATGAGTATGCGCAGCATTTTGCAGAGATAGTTGCTACTGAAAGCAAAGAGCATCTGACCTTGTCAGTCTTATCTTCAGAGAAAGGATTCTGAGTAGGGTCCTGGTCGATGCCACCTCCAATGCTGAATCCTAGAATCAAATTGTCACCTTGACGAAGCTTATGTATTTCAATTCTTTGCTAAAAAGAAAAGAGAATAACTGAGCATTGTGATCACTGGAAGTGATCTTAAGTCTGTTTCAGAAACAGATGCATATAAGCCAGTTAGATATTTATTTCACGCAGATGCTATAAACCTCAGTTAACTTTACTAGAAAAGGCTGTATCACAGCCTTGGTTAGAACAAGAACCACCTATCTATTCTGCATGCATTGTAAGCAGGCAAACAAGCTCTAAAACGCCTTGGCAGAAAAAGCTATTACACAGTATTTGTTGTCTACCAGTGACACATAACCTTGGTGCTGGCCGCACCAATTGGCTCTAAACTGTTCTCAGCTGTACCACAAAACGGCGTGGCAGAAAAGCATCGGCAAGCTCATCCCGAGGGTACTCATGCCGCTACACAGCCAAGCTTCTAACCTAGCCAGCGCTTTACCGCTGCACTGAAAACAAGGGGCAAGGCATTAAAAACTGAGAGCAGGTCTCCCTGAACGTGAATCAAGGTTTGCTAACTAGCAGTCATTCATATCTAGATTCATCTTGTTTTTTGTTTAAGTGCCTCGTGTTCCTGTGTAGCCCTGTCAATGGAAATATTAGTCTATTACAATGGTTCTTCTTAGGTTCTCAACCCTTTTTTGTAATTTGAAGGTAAGCAAGTTCCTTGCTAACTGAAGAACAGAGGCATCTGACAAACTCTACAGATTACTGAAGTACTGTATAACTGCCAGCTTGCAGGAATTTCTGAGTCAAGATAAAGAGCCAGGATCTTTAACTGGAACAACACCCACTCAGAAGGCGCTTCTCAAACCTCTGCCTCAGTCAGGAGCTGAGCTCTCTGCGGGCAGAAGGCTCAGGATCTCACTAGGAGACGAGCTGCTTTGCTAAACCAAGACAGCTGACGCGTCCTCAGGGATGTCGGCTCTTCCACCGCTAAAAGCGGTGCAGCATATTCCAGCTAGGTCAACAGTCAAACCACCTGAAAGGCCACTTAAGTTAACTTAGTATTTTAATTAGCGAAAGAAACAATACAGCAACCCTTGCTTGCGTTCTGTTTTTTGATTAAGCACTTTAACATAATTTTTAAAAGCTCTGCTTCATAAAATTCAAGTATACAAGGCAGGTCCTTGTCCGGTCTGTATCACGCAGTTGCACGTAGCAGAGGGCACTGAACAAAGCACCCAGCCAGCCGCTCCCGCCACATTACCACAGAAACAACGCAGGGAGTAAACCAGGTCTTGCGGAAAACACCCTGCACTGCAAAAGAGAGCAGGCTTCGCTCAGAGACGCTCGCGTTACCCAGTTACAGCAGGGTGCAACAACTACTTAGGCCTTAACGCGAGTACCAAAAGCCGCACGAGAGACGCTCAGGGCTTTCAAGCGGGTCTGTCACGCAGCGCTGCCAAAGGCTGCCGTGGGCCAAGCGGCTCCGCAGCAGA